TATCATAGCAAGAATAGTTATCTTTATTTAGAAATTCGGTCTAACTGAAGGTCAATTTGCAATAATCCAAAATGCCCAGAAACTTAAAAAAAAAAAAAAAAAAAGCAATATTAACCAGCTAGGACCTTATCATTCAAATACATTTGGTTCTGTAAAATACTACTACATTTAAGTGGTTTAACTAATCCTAATTCATCCAAAAGTAAAAATATATTTACCTTCTTCTGTAGCAAATTATTTCAATTATTCTATTTCTCTACATATAACTTTTTCAAATATATCAAAAATATTATTTCAAAATTAGTCTTTCTCAAATAAATTTTTTGATATTAAAAACAATACCAAGTATAATGCATTCTCAAGTTACATGAAGATTCTGCTAAGACTTTAAACGAAATAGAAAACATTAAACCCATAAAACCAACATACACATTTATTTTAAATAACTTGTCATTAAACTAACCTTTTACATCCAGAAATGCAAACGACCATAATAAACAAAGGCTAAACATCTCTCAATCTCACTCATATACATACATATATAGAATTATAACCCAAGAATATCACGTAATAAATGAATACACACCTTACTTTAGCATATGCCAGGGTAGACACACAAAAACAAGAAAAAAATTTTGAAATCAGAGTATAAAGGGACTCTGCTTTTTCAAACAATGCAGCACTGAAAGCCAGGTCAGCATCCTTGGGCATTACTAGGAAACTTTAGCACATCTGATATTTCCATCATCTTCAAGATTCCTCTGAATAATCAGAAAATATCCCAGTCTCCCCCTACCTCACCTGTCCAGACTTCCTCTGGCTTTCTTCCCTCTACTGTGTAATGATGCTATTGTGGTTATTTAGGCTTTAAATGTTCAGAGATACAACCCCCTCTATATATTAATTCAGTTCATTTTCTCACAGACACTGACTCAGCCGTGGGCTGTGCAGCACTGACGTTTCTAACCAAACAGCATCCTGTGAGCTGTGATCATCCCCTTTCCCCATCCCCGTGCAGTGATTGGCTATTGTAATTGATAGACAGGCTGAAGAAAACTCAGGAGATAAGAGCTTAGTGATATGAAGATATGTTGCCAAATGCCATCTGTAAAGCTAATTCTAGCTCTTCCAGCTTGCCAGGTTTTAGAAAACTAGGATGCAGCTTTTTTTTTTCTTTCAATATTTCACTGTAGATCCATTCTGGACAGTAAGGCTTCTCTTTAAAACCAAAAAGAAAATATTTGTACTTTAAGAATCCACTCAAGAACTACTCTAAAACAGTAAAACTTTTCCATTTCTAAACTGCTGCTGGGACTACGGAGTGGTTTAAAAGGCAAACTGGAAAGCTCAATCTTCATGCAGGCACAGAAGATGCAAGCATGCGTATTTCTATGTGGAAATGAAACCTTGCGGCAAAGTCTGATATTGAATGTATGATGCATTTATCTTTAGTAACCTGAGCAGACTGCAGATCTGAGTTTTAAATAGTCAGATTTGACCTAATTCATATACTCAAGAGCTTTTAGCATATTGTCAATCTAGGCAATTTAACATTAATTATACAGAAAGGGTGCTCTTTCTTTTTCTTTTTTAAATAGCAAAAATGCCTCTATAATTTTTAAAAAGTTGTCATAATTCAGGTCAAATATACTTCAACTGAAATGATCTTTAACCTCTCAGCAAACTCCCAAATCCCTCTTATATAGGAAATAACTATAAAACTACTAAGAAAGAAACAAAGTTCAGTAACTTTTTTAACTATGTAATTCATCTGTATGCACTTGTAAAGAGATCATAAGCACCCTCAAGTCTCTCCACGTCCAGGTTAGCTTCCAGTCTTGTCTTGTCGTTTATCAATATATCACAGTGCTGTACATATCAGATCCACATACAAAATAAAGCTCAGAAAAGAAAGTATATTAAAGTTATGTTTTATAAAAGAGAAGCCATAAGGCAATGCCCACCAAATTCTCAAATCTAAATGACAGGCACACATAAAATAGTAACTATTATTACTTGTATAATTTAATAAATTTATTTTTATCCTTGCCAGTAGCAAAAGGGAGGGGAGAGCGGATTAAACGAAAAAGATGGAAAAAAGAGGCTATTCTAAATTGTGAAGAAAATGAAAATTTAAACAAGACAACTTTTTAGATTAACTACAAAAACTGACACAATATTCTTATTTTTCTACTGCTAAAGACTGAATGTTTGTGTCCCCCAGTATGTTGAAATGTATTCCCCCAATGTGATGACATTTGGAAATGAGGTGCTCAGGTCATGAGGGCGGAGCCCTCCTGAATGGGATTAGTGCCTTTATAAAAGAGACCCCAGAGAGATCCCTAGCCCCTTCCTCCATGTGAGGACATAGCAAAAAAGAGAGCTGTCTGAACCAGGGAGTAAGCCCTTACCAGATAGGAAATATGCCAGCACCTTGATCTTGGACTTCCCAGCCTCCAGAACCAGGTAAAATAAATTTGTTGCTTCTAAGCTACCCCTCCATGGTATCCTGTTATAACTGTATACCTAAACAGACTAAGGCATTTACTTTTTGTAAATTTATATTCTCAATTCTATTTGAGGTGGCCACGTGCCCACCTATACTTAGCCTCTCTCATCCAGAGATGACCATATGACACAGTTCTAGCCAATGATTTATAAACAGATACCTTGTAAAAATTACTGAGAAATTTAATTTCCTGATATAAATAAAACCCCTTTCCCATTGTCCCCTTCTATCTTTATCCTCCTTATCTGGAAGGTGGACATAATAGCAGAAGCTACAGTAAAGCCATCTTGTGATCATGAGGAAAAGCCAAGAAAATCAAAGACTTTTGATCCCAAAATCCTTAAACTACTAAATCTACATTCAGGCACTGCCTTCCTGTGGACTTTTTATGCACAATAAAAATAACCCCTAACTTAAGCCAGTGTTTAGTCTGATTTTCTTTTAATATACAAGATTCAAAAAAAAAAGGATGAGAGTAGGTAGAAGCATAGTTCTGCAATTTGCAAGTTGGATGGCTTTGGGCAAGTTTACTAACCTCATTCTTTTCGTCTGTCAAATGGAAACAAGCAGTACTATGCAGAAAGCTCCACCTTCAAATTCTGTCAAGATAATCTCCTGAAGGTCCCTGGCAGGAATCTACCTAATCACCTAAGGATTACCTCAAGTCTCATTTTCACTGATCCCTTCTTTGAGCTCTTCTTTTACTGTAACTCACTGCTACAGTTTAGTGCCCTACTGTCCTCTAATTATTCCATATGTGGTTATTAAAGCACCCCATGGTAATACCCTGACGAACTTCTGAATCTCTCTTGAACTGAGTGCAAATTCTCAACAATATCTACTGATTGTTAGTATTTAAAACGTCTCAATTAACTTACGATCAGCTCGAGAAAACCATTTTTAAAAAGTCATACTGTGCTTTTTAAAAAGTATCCTAAATATGTTCCTAAGTACACAGAACAAGAGGTCCACAAATGAGGTTAAAATAAGCTCAAAGGATTTCATATTTTCCTTTTTAAAAAATCTCTGTATTGGTATTTATTTTCTATACCTAAAAAGAGCACCAAAAAGTTACTGATACTATATGTTACTAAAATAACAGTAATGAAAAAAGTACTGTTAGTTTTTGTAAATTTTTCCCATTGTATGCATGTAGCTTTTATAAAGCAACCCATGGTTTATTTTCACCCAGTCAACTCTTCATATATAATGCACTACTGTACATCAGCAGAAAAATATTAAGAACTAGGAAGGATAACATACAAGTCACCAGAAAATAGGTACACAACATAACATATAAATATAGTGCACACTTAATGAGATAAAATAGTATCTGTTTAATCTCAAAGACAAAATAATTATCCATGTAAGCAGGAGAGAAAAAAAAGAACTAGAGCCAGAGACTGAAGGACATACACATACACTCGCACACAAATGAACAAACAAACCACAAAACACTCAAATCACTGATATGTACACCTAAGTTAGTAAAATTAATATTTTCATTTTAAGACTTCACCACATTAAAAGTCCATAATAAAGGTAGACATCTTATCAGGAGACTTAAACTGTACCAGCCACTCATATTTCCTAGCAACTGCATATCGTTTAAAAGTACCTGAATTATTTCTTTAGAACTACCAAAAAAAAAGTTCAATATCACATCATTTTAAAATTCTTTTTCAAGAAAGCTGCTATTAGTTTTCCAGTATCAGGAGAATTTTACATTCACATAAGTTAAATGTTCAATATCCCCTAAGTAAATATTCAAAAGCACAATACTTTATGAGAACATGCTTGCATACCTGCAGCAAATGTGAGGTTTATGAACTGCTAATTAACACCGTAAAATATCACATCACTTTAGTGGTCTAAATGAGGTGGTCCTTATTAAGCCACACAGGTCCTTATTAAGCCACACTTAAAAAGAAAGCTTCAAAAATTATAAATAGGTTGAAACTTTCAAAATAAATTTTATTTAATGCATCAAACTTTACACGAAACAGTACAATCACTGCAGAAAGACTGATTTTCCCATTAGGATCAGGATGACAACATAATATATATATTCACACCATTAAAAATGTATGGAGGCAAAGACTGGAAAGAGCCTATAAATCATTTTGTATAATTTATACACAATGTACTTAGAAAATAAAATAAATTCCCAGTAGGGAGTTTTAAATACAAAGAACTAAACTGTCTTGCCAGAGTTCCCAGTTAAATTAAATGTTGCATTTATACATGGGATTAACTAAGGAGTTTTAACATTATTTACAAACAAATAAAATTTCAAATAAATACAAATGTAAGAAAATTAAAAGAAAATAAATGTTGCTCTAAAAGTAATTTAAAGAGAAATGCAAACATTCATAATATTTTGTAAACCCCATCATCTGACAGGACTTGCCACAACCAAATGCAGTTTGGTTCTTTACAAAAATCTATTTTATCAGAGCTTTGATATGTGAAATACATATTTTCTACCTACCTTGAATGTTTATAAAGTTTACGAGGTCTACAATGCAATTTCCGATCCCAATTCTCTGGATCACTGGAGTTACTGTCATAAGGATGAGGCCGTCCTGCCATCCCACTTCAAGCTTTCTCACACTACTGCTCTGAAAGCACACATGTAGCACCCATAACCTACATAAAAAAGTAGTGTTGACCTTTAAGTCTACTCCATGCAGAATAAAATAGTCACAAAATTTTAAATACTTTCTAATATTAGTGTGACATATTTAAAAAGTGATGAACAAGATTAAAAGTACTAGACATACAAAAATACCGCAAATCAGATTAAAATAAACACCAGTGCCTTTTTAGGTACTTTTCATTTGATTCTTCTATTAAATTTGCTACTGCTCTACACAACAGTTTAATGTGCTATTTATATTTGCTAATATATTTAACTGCCATCTGGATACCTCATGTTACCAAACATTAATATAGTACCAAAAAAGGCAAAAACAATTCCAGAAAATGATTCAGACAAAATTTCATTTGGACTACATTTCTTAATTACTAAAAACTTAGGATGTTTAACAAAGCATCTAGCATCTAGTAAGATCAAAAACCAGTATTGTTATTTCTGTAACCAAGTTAAAGACTTTGAACAGAAACTTAATATTTGCCCAAAAAGTATGTAAGCATCATGTTTCTTTACAGTGCGATTACCACAAAAATATTTTCTCAATAGGATTAACATACTTTTTTCATTTCATATGTGAGGTTTGTGACTTATTTCTACAACAGTTGTATGAAAGTATACGAAAACTTGCTTAATAGCTTTACAGAATACTTGGACTAAGACTTTAAAGTATATTCACTTTCCAATTTAATCTTCACAATCACTTTACAAGGTAGGCATTATAATTTCTATGTACAGAACAGAAAACAGTCTCAGAAGTTTAATAATATTGCCAAAGTTCCCAATGTTTATAAATGGTAGAATTATAAAGAACACTGAGAATTTATGATATAGAGTCTTGATCTCGAAAAATGCTCAGACCGGAGTATTTTGTTTGGAAATAGTAAGTCAGATTTGACTTTTAGAGATTGCAAACACCAAAAGAAAAACCAAATGCAGTTAAACAACTTGAACAAAGTTATAGTAAGTCAGACTAGAACCCAGGTTTCCTGACACCCACTCCTATACCTGTATACTTTCTATAAACTTTCCATAAATCTAGAGCTGGATTTGATAGAGGGAAGTGAGGAAGAGTTGTGCATACAAGTCAAACAGAGCCCAGAATGGGGAAAAGACTTCTTGAGTTTTATAAGGTACCCCAGTACAATTTCACACACACAAAAAAAGCCAAAAAAATAAACTCATTAAAATTGTAAGTCTATCTCAGAACTCATTTAAAAAAATACTTTTGGCCCTGGCTGGTGTGGCTCAGTGGATTGAGTGCCGGCTTGCCAACTAAAGGGTCACATGTCAGGGCACGTGACTGGGTTGCAGGCCTGGTCCCCAGTTGGGGGCATGAGAGGCAAGATGTATCTCACACACAGATGTTTCTCTCCCTTCCCTTCCCTCTCTCTAAAAATAAATAAACTCTAAGGAAAAAAAAGCTTTCATTTTAGAGAAATTATTTTCCTATGTTTATACTTTTTTCCTTATAGCTACTTAGTATTTTCTTTCCAAAAACAATTGAAAATTATTTTAATATAATAAATATGTAAATAAGTAAGTAGATCAATGAGTAAAATAAAAATAATAGGAAAGAGAAAGGGAGAGAATTGCATAATGGCTATTTTAAATTCTAAACAAATACCACATATTTATATACCAAATGATCCTGGAAAAGACATCTATATCCTTAAGGATCACTGAATAACTAACTGAGAATCAATTGCATATTAGATGAACATAAAAACTATAAAATTATTTTGAAAACAAAATATTCTCCAACTCATCTGAGTTTTTAATTATAAAAATAAAAATGTATTTCCTAAAAAGGAAACTTTTTAGAGCTTCAACTAAATATTATAGCTAGTTATCTGTACTGAAGCAATGAGGCAGAAGAAGAGGGTGATAAAGAACAAATTAGACAAAGGAGAAAGAAAAAAGTGGTCACAGAGCAAGAGACACAAAAGGTAAAAAGAGTAGTAGGGAAAAATACATAAAGAGGGAAGAGAAAGATGGAGAGAGGCTTAGCAGGTTCTGTAAAATGAGATCCAGAGCATTTCGTCCTTACTTCATAGGTCTTCCAGTAAGCTATTTTAGGCATTAACATTTCTTTACAAGAGCATTTTTTTCTTCTCCTAACCCATAACTACTTATAAGACACACCCCTGTAGATAAGATAGCCACAAATGACCAAGGGGGGGGCAGGACAGGTGGGGGGAGAAGGATCCTAAACCACATAAGGGATGCAGTAACTAGAAAAATAAAACCACGAGGAATGGATAAGGTAAATTCAGATGCATGTTGTTCACCATTTTACAGTGGCTGGCATATATCTAGCAACAGGGAAATTCCAGTATGTCTTCATTTACCAAGCATGTATTTTACAACCGGCCACAAGAAAGTAAAGAATGTTCAGATGAAGGCTATCAAAAAAGAAAAAAAAAATCAATTGAAAAATACTATTTCACTTCATTTGGCAACAAAAGTTGGTTATCACCATGTGAAAACTTTCTCCTCACTCCTCACTCCCAACAGTCAGAGATACAAAAACACTAAAAACAAGTAAAATTAAAGTTTGGGATATCAAAAACACTAAAAACAAGTAAAATTAAAGTTTGGGATATCTGTGTTTGTCTATACATACTAGTGAATTTTACATGTTATCAATAAGCTGTAACTACAAATACATAAGAGGCAAATCATACATTATATACTATTTTGAAATGTCTAACGATATCTTCTATTTTAATCACTCTCTGTACCATACTAGATGACATCGTATTTATCTTATTTCATTCACTCACTCATTCAAGCACTTACTGAACACCTACTACAATAAGCTAAACAATTTACAAGATGCTGAAGCAAGTTGGACTTTATTCCTGTTCTCAAAAAACTCACTGTATTAAGGGAAAGAGGATTCCACCAATGCTCCATATGCCACTTCACCCTGTCTCTCCCTCTTACAGAGATTCTTCTTACACTGTTACCCAACCCTGAAGTCATCCTTAACTTCTCATTTCCCTCTATCAAACCTACTTCAAATTTTCTTTTGACTCCTTCTCTCCCTTTTCACCCATAAGGCTACTGCTTTGAGTTAAAACCCATAACAGTTATCAATAAGCCTCCGGGCTGACCTATTTACCACTCCATTCAATTATATTATCTGCTCTGCTATAATGAGAATTATCTTTCCAAAACTTTCTAATGGCTCTCCATTTCCTCTATCTAAACTCCTTACCATAAAAAGTTCCTTCAAAACCTGATACCTGGATCCCCCATGGCTACTTTATATTAGGCAAACTAAAGTTTATTACTGTTTGGATCTCGTAATCAACAAATAATTACTGGACTACTAAAAACAAAGTTCTTAGAAAACGGCCCAATCTGTTACTATTTTTTGGCATGATAAAAAAAAAAAAATCTAAGTTCTAGATTACCTAGAAACAAACTTTATACAGGGTGAAACAACTAGGCCTGTTGGCTAGAAGCACACATTCAAGCAGACGGCCAAAAGTTAAATGGTAGAGAGGTGATTCAATTACTTCCCCTTCTCTTGGATATTACTATCTAAAAAGGGGGGAGGGGAAAGTCTTCAAGGTTACAATAACATAAATAACTATTCCCAGAGACACTATTTCTAGGTAATATTAATTAACAAAATGATCAACAGAAGGGTAAAACAATCTGATAGTATATGGAGACAAGTTACTCTGTTATATGTACCAATGTACTAAGAAGCTTAAATACAATGTGCCCCCACGAACAGTAGAGCTCCTATGAAAAAGAACATCGAGACTAAAAAAAAGTCTTACATGAGTTTATTTGAGCCAAACCAACTACAATTAGCAGAAAAGCAAAAAATAAATGGATTGAGAAAATGCTCTGCGAAATGGCAGTTTTGCCACTTATTTTATATACATTAGAATCAAAGGAGCAGAGATGTAAGGAGGCCTAGGTGAAATTCATGAGTGGTAGATTAGGGAGGCATGAGAAAGCAAAGTAGGGAAATCTCTGAGATTGGATAAAAAGCAAAACAGACACAATTTTTTACACTGGTAGGTAGGAGACAGTTAACATTCACAATAAACAGAGATGGTATGTGGGCAACAAGGTAACAGTGTGGTCTACTGCTCTGGTGCTGGTAGTTGGGTCTGGAAAAGAAAATTACTCTGACATTTCAAAAAACTATTATCTCAGATGCACAAAGACCACAGACAATTTCAAAGGTAAAGTCAGGCCTTTTGTCAAGGAAGCTATGGGCCTAGGACATGACTAGCCACTATGTCCCACTTTTAGGAATTTTTACTTCCATACCACCCTGTGGGGCTACTTGCGATCTCTGGGTTTGTAGGGCCCTGAGTTTGCTGGCTTAGTATGTGACTCCTTTTTCATCCACAAAACTTCTCATAAAGTGAAGAAAACAATTACCATTAATTTACATGGAAAAATTTTTTAGCATTCCCAGACCCAAAAATAACCTACCAAATAGGCTTAACAAGTCCAGTTTTATGCCAAGTACAATATCCCTACGAGCTCTCCTAGGCTTTCCTGGTATCTTAGGACACATCTTGGTAACAGATGCACAAAATCAATAATAAAGCACAAATGCTCACACAGTTCAAAGCTCTATGGAGCTTGACGCTGAGTATAGTTCCTGGAGAAGGGGCTTGGTGGTCTCACTGCTAGGGATGCATGCTGCCTCTATAACGGTTTGCTGCAAAACACACTAACACTATTTTTGCTTTTTGCTTTTATTCGTAACAGCAAGAGGGAAAACAATGAAAAGAACAGAATCACATGGTGATAGGGAGCCAAGGACTGTCTTCAGCAAATAGAAAGCCAAATAGCAAGAGGTGTGGGTAGTAGAGACTGATCAAGAGGTAGCCAAAAAGGCACACAAGCTATTAAAATGTCCTCAGGCAACCTTTCCTATGTGGAAAAGACCCAAAGGTGTAGAAAGAGCCCCACAGAGCAAATAACTAACTTGGGATTTGCAGACTAAAGAGGAAAA